CGACCTCCGAATCTCATTTTGCTCTGCATTCTGGATCGAGCGCGCCAGCATCCTATATATTTTGGACCCAACAAGAAACGAGACGCCAAGCCGCCCGTTCAATGCAAACTCGTGCAGAAGATATTTTCAAGACCATTGGGTACGGGCTGAAATAGGCAACCTTTGACGAGGTCGGTCGACTATGCCGACACAAGTGGGAATGGGTAAACCTTCACTTTCGAAGCGACAGCACACAGATAAAGCACTCCAGGAAACAAACACCGACCTGGAACCCATCGTTTCGACCTTTTTTTTNTCCGACTCCTTGCTCATGTTGGCGTTTGTGCGGGTCTTCCTACCGCTCTTGGCCGTACGCTTGGCTTGCCTGTCGGGAGGTGCATCGTCGTCGCCGGAATCGTCATAGTCGTTAGCACCGCCGCCGCCACCGCCGCCGCTGCCGCCGCCGCCGCCGGCTAAGTTCAACGGCATGTTGTCGGCACCGGACACCAGTCGAGCCGCCAGAGCCCTCGTCAACCCATCGAAGACCTTGTCCGACGGACCTTCCTCAACCAACCACCCACTGCGGTACTTGTAGGCCTTCGGAAGGATTCCAAACGCATTAAAGTCTTGCTTGTAGTTGACAAAAAGTGCGTTCGTCAAATCACCAGCCCTGTCCAACCCGGGAACTTTAGTCGTTGCTACGGGTTGAAAGCCATCGGCGTCTTCATCAGCTTCAATAACTTCCTTGACAAACGTTTCCACGGATTGGTTACCTCTAAGTGCACTCAGGTAGCCCGCAATCACAGTCTCCATCATCCTCGTTGCTACATCATAGGGGATTTGGTCAGGACGAAATCCCGCGTTGAGGAAAAGGTCCGCCTGCTCAGGCGTAACGTTGGCTTTCGAAGCAAGCCTCTCGATCGTCGGTGCGCGTAGCAGGTTGGCAAGGGCGCCCCCAAGCGGGGGGACAGGTATCACCCCACCCACGGTAGCTGGGCTGGATCGGCCGCTACCGCTACCGCTGCCGATACCGCTCCCACTGCCGTTACCGAAACCGGCCCCGCCGCCGGCGGTAGCGGGGCTGGATCGGCCGCTCCCGCTGCCGCTCCCGCTGCCGCTCCCGCTGCCGCTCCCGCTGCCGCTCCCGCTGCCGCTCCTGCTATCGGGCTGCGTGAACCCAGGCATGCGTCCCTTGGTGCGGTTGACTCCCTCCATCCGGCGCTCGTCGCTCGCGTGAGCTTCTCCGAAGGACGTCGCCGTTGCTCCCGGTCCGCACCGGCTGTTGCCCATGTCGATGGCTGCCTGGCCAAGCAAGTTCTGGCCCGCCTTCCTCGCCTTTTCTTGTTGAGAGCCTGCCCTCTCCGCGGCCTTGGCGTCTACCACCGCGATCAGCAGCTTCTCCTACGGCAAGGAGCAACATGACCCGACCCAGAACGGTGGAAGCGCGGCAAGACGAGCAGCAAAAGTCATGCACTGGGCTCTCGTTGCCCCATTTCCATATTCATTCCGACGTTTGCATACAGACTTTGTTGAATTTTTTCCTGTTTTTCGCGAAGGACAGCTCAACGCAGTCATGACATACAGGCAGAGGGCTACCCCGAGTGATCGTTGCCATCATAGCACCGAATTCCGTATCAACGTATATCACAGTAGGCTAACAAATTCGCAGTACAATTGTGCTTCACCGTTTAGCTTCTCACCAGCTTGGCTTCGTCTCCGTCGAGGTCGTCGCCGGAGGTATTCCCTACTCCCGATTCTCGTGCGGCGTCATTGTTCTTGGCGGTTTGGACGCGAACAAGTTGGTTGAAGCGCAACACCAAACTCTTTAAAGGCTTGTCCCCCAAAGCTCTCACTTGCGGCTCCGAGTTCAACTCTGCGTAGACCAATCCCCATCTGTCTTCAACTGTGCCGGTCACGCCGGCCACTCGCCAGGTCTTGTGTCTGACAGCTGCCGCGACAGGGAGAGCGATTTTGACAAGCAAGACAAAAAATATGCGAAGTAGTAGTTAGTGAGGAGCCCACAAGGCCGGCGTCTTATCCGGAAACTGACATAACGCTCTTCCGACCAAACCCCATCCTGACGGATGCAAATGCTGTGGTGAGCGAGCATACAAAAGCAGGCACACCGTGCAACGTGCTTTGGGTGTTACAGCAGTGTAGAATACTTGTTATCGCCACCTTGCTGTGCCACGGGACTTTCTATCCAGTGAACAACCTTTTCGATAAACTGCTGTGCGGCAACAACAGCAGTTGGGTGATAAGCACGAATCCTGTTTGTTAAACCCCTTTTCAAGCAAGTGCATCTGCTCCACTGCTGTACAGCAGGTAGCGACGCAGGCGGGAGGGAGACATCCGAACTCGGCGCCGTCTGATATGGGGAAATTTGAAATTTGAAATATGAAAAAGTAGTCAGCTCAACACGAAAATCCATCAATCGACCTCATCATGTGGTCTTGCTTGCTTCCTCTGATGACCGCCAGCTTTTCTTCAAAACCGTGCTTTGCTTACTCAACGAATGTTCTCCACATCACCTTCCTTCAACCGAGTTAGAAAATATGCCGCCCTACATACGATGGCAGGAGATTGCACGAGGCACACACCCAACACGCCGCGGAACCTGTCGTCCTACCGGACTGCTGTGTTCATGCTGCGACGAGCCACATGAAAAAAGGCATGTATGTTCGACTCACAAGCGAAGCCACAAGCTTCGGACCTACTACTTACCCAGCGACGGGTCCACTGCTACACAGCAACCGGATGCTACAGCATGTAACAGGTGGCACCCATAGGATGAGCGGCCATGCCATATGCTGTATCGTGTTCGGTGGGTTGCCCATGCATATGCGTGCCACCTTGCATACACACGTAGACTACCTGTAGGTCCGGTGGGTGCACACGTGCACACACTCACCGGAAGTAAGTAGCATCAGGTCCTGTCCCGTGTTCCACTTCCCCGAGTTTCTCTTCCTGCCTGCTGCGGTCTTGTTGCCCGCGGGGTCCACGCTCGATGGCTTGGGCACAGCTACCACTTCATCGTCGAAGCCCTCCAACAGCACAGGGGTCTCTTCTCCACCAAACGTCGCCACCTTTTGCGCGTGCCCATCGCCTGCCGCCCTGAAGGACGGGCGNTATGATGAGCGGCCATGCCATATGCTGTATCGTGTTCGGTGGGTTGCCCATGCATATGCGTGCCACCTTGCATACATGCGTAGACTACCTGTAGGTCCGGTGGGTGCACACGTGCACACACTCACCGGAAGTAAGTAGCATCAGGTCCTGTCCCGTGTTCCACTTCCCCGAGTTTCTCTTCCTGCCTGCTGCGGTCTTGTTGCCCGCGGGGTCCACGCTCGATGGCTTGGGCACAGCTACCACTTCATCGTCGAAGCCCTCCAACAGCACAGGGGTCTCTTCTCCACCAAACGTCGCCACCTTTTGCGCGTGCCCATCGCCTGCCGCCCTGAAGGACGGGCGCTCGGAGTCTTCTGCGTCCCTACGCGCCGCCGCCTTGCGGGAAGCCTCTAGGGCCAAGCCCTTTTCCGTGTGGGTGACGGACCTCAAGCTCTGACGGGTAGCCATGCTGTTCTGTTGTGTGTGTGCAAGGTAGCCCCTCTAAAATCTGAAACGCTCTCTCCGATTTAGAAAAAAACAGTGCTATAGAAAAAAGAAGCGCTAGCGCTGCTTTTTTCTAAATCGGAGAGCCACACTCCAGACTTAGGAGCTCAATGTCCCCCCGCTGTGAGGAAGGTTCCCAGAAATTGACCCTTCCTTCTAAATCTAGAAGATATTTCTGCTTCTAGAAGTAAAAAACCGTTGGCCGAAACTCGCCATTAAGTGAAAGTTTTCTGAGGTACATCTGCAATTGTCGGAAGACCAAAAAAAATAATAATAATAAAAATAGTAACGGAACACAATAATATCGGAACACAAAGATTCAACAGGGGCTAACGTACTTCACAACGTACCATGAATCCTTTGGCTTATGCACTATCCACAAAGAACACACTCGCAGCAATGCACCATCCGCGAGGAACATTCCTACAGAACGTTTCTCGCTGTTCTGATAATATGTGGCTACTCAGCTATCTATCTGCAACGCCGACAGTCCCGCCCTTCTAACTGTCCAATCAACTTGTGTTACGTTACTCTGTCGATACACACAGCAGCAACTATCACGAACAGCGCCAACCTCGAAGAAAGGGTACACATTGCGCCGACATCGGCAACCTATCCGCTGTGCAGCTTGTAAGCAGTGCACCAACCACAACAAATGGTACACCTTGCACCGCCATCGACAGCAGTGACTCCTATCCGGCTTGTTAGGGGTATTATTATCAGGCCGAAAATACGTATTCGGTTACGAAACCGTACTTTCTTGAAATACATGGAGGCGTTCCTCAACGTTTCCGTAAAAAGAGAGAAGCGTATTTTTTCTGGGCTTGCTCCTTTTACTGTTCGGTGAAAAATTTCCCGCTTTTTTCGACGACCGGAGCAGACACCGGTCACGCGTGCTGTCTTCATCACACCACACCTAGGCAGCACCACCAACGCCCCAAACCGCTTCCCGATGCAACTCCACTTCCATGGCTGAGCGCCGGAAGCGCCAGCATCCCCACGGGCCCGCAGCGCAACGCCGAGAGAAGCGCCGTCGAGGAGCTATCGACGAGGTCGGTGCAGCCCAGGAACACAGGAGATCTCTCACAGTCCTGGGTCTTCTGTAGTGGCGGCGGGCGTGGTGGCAGCAGGAGAAGCTCATCGTGCCCACTGCCCTCAGGAACGGGAGCCCATCTACGAGTAACAACATATTCGCCTGATTGAGAGCGTAGCATCTGATTGAGAGCGAGATTGCGCGATACGCTGTAGCCGGACTACCACTGAGAGGTGGAGCTTGCTGTGTAGCTTGAATTGAAGGGCTAGCCCGTAGCTTCAAGCCGCTACCCTGGTCATCCTGTGGGAGTCTCTCGTTGTGGAGCTACAGCGGGGAGCAGAAGCTACAGCAGAGCCCACCGCCCGACGCGATACCGCCCTGAAACAGTTTGAGCAGAAATAGCCAATCTGGGCAAATCTAGCAACTTGTCTAGCTCCTCGCTGCAGCATCCGATGACGATGACACGCATATGCTCGCGAAGCTGCTGATGAGACCTTCAATTTGCACCGCTTCTTGGAATAGCCCGTCCCCTACTTGCCAAGAAATGGCAAGAGGCGTCTGGACCCGAAATTTCAATTTTTTTGGCTCTCGCTCTCAATCAGATACTTCGCTCTCAATCAGGCGAATATGTTGTTGAGTCCAAGCGGCTTCCGCGGGCCCAATACGAGGCGGACCTCAATAAACGGCAAGGCTGGCGGCGGTCGTACCGCATGGAGAATGCAGCCGCCCACGGCAGGTATGCGTAAGGCTTCCTCTCATGTATACGTAGAGAACAACGAGGAAGAGCAAGTCTACAACCAACCTAGGAGAAACATTACTGCTGATGACTGCCTTGCTGTTTGTCTGCTATCTTTTTCAAAAAAAAACTCCCTCATCGAATCATGCAGCCAGGGTATGCATACACGCAGCAGCACTTATTCTACAGCAGTAGGTACAGCAGTGTCTGCATATGCATACAGCAGCAGTCGTTGTATGGGAACGACAGGAAGGTACTATGGTGGCGCTGAAATAAGTTCAGCAGTATGAATAGAGCGTGCAACACACGCCGGCACCACTATACATTATACATGCGTTTGACGCTGGCGACTGCAAATACACCCCCTATGACACTGGTACATATTTCCTGACCGACACACGCTCATCCTTTGAACATTATCTGCGCGTCGCTCCGAAACCCCACAGCACTGCGATCGCCTATCAATGGCGCCATAGCTGTAAAAGTCCGCGTTGCCGTGGCGTTGAGGATCCTGGCTGGCGCTAGTTACTGGGATGTTGCCCTCATGTTTGGCTTGTCGGTGCCGACCACGTACCAGATCTTGTGGTCGGTGATCGACGCCATCAACAAGACGCCTGCGGTTGGGGCATTCGACTTCCCCCTGACCGAGGAAGGCTGCATGCGAAATGCCAACAGATTCAAGGTGAGGCCTAACGGTGGTCATTACTGCTGCTGTGGGTTAATCTTGGCGACATTCTCTTGACCAGCCGCGGGATGTCGGTTTTTTTAATTACGTCTGGCGTTTCCAGCCGTTTTAGTGTACGGCACGGCTATTTGGGACAACGTTGTCCCAAATTTTTATTTGGGACAACACGTCTAACTCGGCGTAGAAAGCTAGGATCGACCTCAAACCAAGTTTGTTGTATTCCTACTGGACACAGCTTTCACGGAATGTATTTTGAGTTCACAACGGAGCCGGAGCCGAGGAGATAGAGCCTAAACATGGGGCTCCGTGGCTTCGGTAAATCCACGTTTTCCTCCATAACTCGGCCCAACCACCTCCGAAACACCCCCAAAGACCTTTGTTGTGCTTGTATGATCCACAGCTATCATCCAAGCCATCGGGTGGCCTTACCCGACCTGTACATGCGGAGA